TGTGATAAGCTTTAAAGCTGTTTACAGGTATAATTCAAAAGTAGCATTATCATAAGGTTTAACATCTGTGTCATAATTCTTATCCCCAAAACTTAACATTAATTCCAATTTTTTATCACAGATGGGTGTTTACAAGTATCTTTATGATACCATGCCCTCTATTTAGATAGTGTAGTTTGAGGTTAGTTTGTTCATTACCCATGGTGTCCTTTGACTCTCTCCCATTTAATCAGTCACCGTCTTTTCTTTCCTTCCAGTCTTTCTCTTTGTGTGGGCTCTTAATTTAATCATGTTTTTGGAATTTTGGTGCCTCGAGGTCTGGCACAATAGGTGTTCAGGGGTATCCTGCACATTGGCTGGCCCTTTGGGGAGCGGTCTCCCAACCCCAGGACTGTACATATGCAGAAAATCCAACTCCCCTTTTGGGGTTACCCTGTGTTTTCCCCCTCCTATGTGTGTTTACCTTTTGATCAGATTCTCCTTTTCCCAGCAGCTTTCCCATAACTGCTCTTTATGTTTTACCAGTCTGGGGGAAAACACCCCCTTCTCTGTCAGTTGGGTCATTTGTATTCTGACAAACTACCACCTGGAAACTTCTTGGTCCCAACTCCTCTGTTATTGCAGGCATTGGAGCTGCATCTTGATTTAAAGAGACACAGTTACTTTCCAAAAACTTATCAGAAATAGCATCCTGAAAAATTGGGACCTGGATTGGGGTACCCTCCCCCACCCCTTTCTCTGTCCCTGAGAAGTCAGCTGTGTGACTGCTCCCCTCCAGGAGGTCAGTTACACAGTTCCTTCTCAAAACTTGGGTCACAGGCTGAGTGTCTGGGTGCACAGATGCTGACCGAGCCATCCTCCTAGTGTCCTGGGCATCCTGCTCCAACTGACTAGAGAGGAGACATTCCTGTACCCCCACTATTCCTTCCCCAGTTTCCTCCTCTGGGCCCCCTCCTAAGATACATTTCTCTGTGCTCCCTGGGAAGGGTTCTATTTCTTGTTCACTTGCAGAACTCTGCCAGCTAACAACTGGGACAGTTTCTTTAATCACTGACAACACCTCTCCTGCCCCTGCTCCTGAGGGCATGTTGCCTTCTGCTGGAAAGGAGCTAGTCTCAGTCCCCTCCCCCGGTACATGGAAGCACATTGCTTCCCTGTGTTACAGAGTCACAGGAATCCTCACCCACCTTTCAGTGGTTTCTGAGATCCCCTGCCCCTTTTTGGGGGCTCTCCTCTGGGACACATTGGTCTATGCTCCCTAGAGCCGGTTTTGACTCTGGTTCAGCTGCAACCTGCTGGCAGCTAACAACCTGAACAATTCTCTCCCTGGCAGGCATTACACCCCCATCCTTTCCTGATGTGGTGTTGCCTCCAGCTGCAGTGCAGGAATTGGTCTCAACCACCCTCCCACCTGGAAGCATGTTGTTTCTCCCTGCTGCAGAAGAATCAAGACGACTCTCTCCCATTCTCTCAGCAGTTCCTGAGACCTCACCCTTTCCCTCGGGGGTCCCAGCATAAAACTCCCTCCTGCTGCAGGCAAATACTTTAACCTGAGCTACACGGAAAAAATTATTACCAAGGAGCAGGTTGAATAGGAGGTGTTCCATTACCCCCACAGTCAAAACATTTTCCAAACCTTCCCAGACCACATGGATTTTAGCTAGTGGTACAAGGAATCTGCTTTCGCCCACCCCCATGATCTCTGCCATTTGGCCAGGCAACATACTGGCCTTTGGGACCACACTCTGTTTAACCAGAGAGATCTGGGCCCCTGTATCCCTCTGCCCCAAGTACTCCCTGCCATTAATTTGGACAGCCTTAACATGCTCCATATTTGGTTCTGCAGAGGCTAACCTCACAGAACCAATATGATAGGTTTCAATTGCTTGGGGGGTTTCTGTGTTGAGGACTGCAGAACTAACGTGAGCTATTGGTTGCCTGCTTCCTCCTAGCACAGGGCATTTATTCCTCGGGTGATCAGTGGAATTACATTGATAGCACCTTTTGGGCTCTTCTGCTTTTACAGGAGATTTGGGATGAGGGTTAGAGGAATTTTTTGGGTAAGAGAATGTTTAGGCTCCCAAACCCCTTCTTTCTTCCCAGGGCTATGGAAGAAAAAGAAAAAGAGAGAGAAGAAAGAGAAAGAGTAAGAGAGCTGGAAGAAAGAGAGAGAGCAAAAATACCAGCTGGACCTGCTAGAGAAGCAGAACAGTGATGCAGCAAAATGAGATCCTCCCTTCCCACCAGTTTTAAACCCCTCTTTCTGTGGCCTGCCCTCAATAGATGCCTGATTCTGTTTGAAGGCATCAGCTAAAAAAGCCATCTCATCCACAGACTTTACATCTTTGTCCCATAGACACTGCTTTACATCAGCCTTACATAAGCTTAGGAAATGCTCTTGAGCAATAAGATCCAACATTCCCTCAAAACTTCCCAACTCTTTACCCCTCACCCATTTTCCCAACAAATCTTTCATTTTGTTTACATATTCCCCATTACTCATACCAATATCCTTCTTAAGATTCCTAAATTTAACTCAATATGTTTCAGGGATAATCTGAAAACTTCGCAAAACAGTATCTTTAAATTTACAATTGTATAAAGCAGGGGTCGGCAACCTTTCAGAAGTGGTGTGCCAAATCTTCATTTATTAACTCTAATTTAAGGTTTTGCGTGCCGGTAATATATTTTAACGTTTTTAGAACGTCTCTTTCTATAAGTCTGTAATATATAACTAAACTATTATTGTATGTAAAGTAAATAAGGTTTTTGAAATGTTTAAGAAGCTTAATTTAAAATTAAATTAAAATGCAGAGTCCCCCGGACCGGTGGCCGGGACCTGGGCAGTATGAGTGTCACTGAAAATCAGCTCATGTGCCACCTTTGGTACGCATGCCATAGGTTGCCTACCCCTGGTCTAAAGCATCTTCAACAGGCATTCCATTGAATACATTTCAAGATTTACCAGTAAATTTCACAGTCAGGGTAGGAACTCTCTTATCATCAGGGATTTCATGTATTACACACAGCCGTTCGAAGGTAGTCAGATATTCAGCAATATCATCCTCTTCACTGTATGCAGGACATAAGTGTTCCCATTTGTGGATTTTTGGAGTGATGGGAGTCGTTGGGGGTTCTGGTTCTGCTTCTCTAGCAGGTCCAGCTGGTGTTTTTGCTCTCTCTCGTTCTTCCAGCTCTCTTACTCTTTCTCTTTCTTCTCTCTCTTTTTCTTTTTCTTCCATAGCCCTTCTGTGTGCGGCCTCCTCTTCTTTGAGCCTCATTTCTGCCTGCCACATTTGAAACTCTCGGTCCTTTTCCTTCTCTACAGCTTCCAGTCTGGACAGCTCTAGTTTTGTAGCTGCCTCACTGGTAGTCATTTTTCTGCTTTCTTGTGCTTACTTCCCTCAACTGAAATAAACAAACAGAAAATAACAAAACTGTGACCTCCTCCTGATTGTTCTTAGCCACTTAAGACTCACTTAAAATAATAAATATCAGTGCTTAAAGTGTGAACTTCACTTGGAGTAACAAGCCGTACATACACCCGGCTTGCTGTGCCACTGTGACGTTCCCCTCTGGTGGTATCTGGACCAGTGATCTGGTAGGTCACTCCAATCCTCAACTCTGGGAGCCAGCCTTACCCTGCTCTGCTGTGAGAACCCCCACTCCTGGGCTGTTCACACACAGCCTCTAGCACGTAAGCTACTCCTTGGATTGTGCAACTGAATGACACTGCCAATATCTTCAGTCCCACACACAAACCTAGGAACCTCCATCTTGCAGTGTCCAGTTATGCTCGCTGGACACTGCAAGCTTATGTGAGTTCATCAGTTTAACAAAGAAATTGATATGTATCAGGCTTGTTATCCCAAGGGGAGCCTCTGACACACTTCAGACCAAATGCACTGCTTCAGGTAGAATAAACAAACAGATTTATTAACTTTAAAGATCGATTTTAAGTGATTATAAGTCAAAACGTAACAAGTCAGATTTGGTCAAATAAAATAAAAGTAAAACCCATTCTAAGCTGATCTTAACACTTTCAATGCCCTTACAAACTTAGATGCTTCTCACCACAGGCTGTCTGGTTGCTCTTCAGCCAGGCTCTCCCCTTTGGTCAGTGCTTCAGTCGCTTGGTGGTGGTGGTGTCTATAGCTGTAGGTGGAAGAGAGAGAGAACATGGCAAATGTCTCTCCCTTCTATCATGTCCTTTCTTCCCTCTTGGTATTGCCTCCCCACTTCAGGGTTAGGTGAGCATTACCTCATCACAGTTCCAAACTGACCAAAGGAAGGGGGGTGACACCCTCGAGAGTCTACAGATTCTTTTGTTGGTGCCTAGGCCAGTGTCCTTTGTTCCTGTGAGGTTGGGCTGGGTTTGTTCCATACATGCCCTGATGAGGTGTGAACTGCCTCTCTGTTCTTGGAGAGCTTTTGCCTGGGTTTGCTTTAATCCATGAGGATACATTTTCAGCCTCATAACTATATATATGAAATTATAACCTATAACATTACTGTAACAATTACTTTAACATCACTATAACAACCATTCTCAGTGCATCATGAGCTTTCGGAGAACACCCAACATGACAAACTTTGCATTGGATACCACACAATCATTTTATAAAGATGAACATGGGGGTGTAGGATGTTCCCGCGAGGTACAGAGCATCACACTGTATCTATCTGTTGTCTCTTATCTTACACTTAGATTGTAAATTGTTTGAAGCAGGGCCCATCTTTTTGTTCTGGTTTGTACAGTGCCTAGCACAATGTGGTCCATGGCTGAGACTCCTAGATGCTGTGATAATACAAATAATATCTGTCTATATATGTATTATAAGGCACCATGCACATCTATGATCTTTAAATAACATGTTAATTTCTGGGTATGTTTCCTATTAATATGTTATATCTAGAGTTTATCTGAACAAGCAATGTTTTGTCTTTGGATCATCTTGAGTTGTTAACTAGATAAATTGTCTTTGTTTTGTTGGTTTTAGGCTCTAACAAAGAAGTTGTTAAACAGATGTCCCACTCAGTGCTCTCCTCACCTCTACTTCCACCCCCCCATTCTGCTACACAGACACCACCTCCTCCTCCTCCTTCAGCTTCTCACCCATCAACACAAGCACCACCAGTTCCCAGCCTACCTCCAAGAAACATCAAACCCAGCTCTGATCCCTCGTAAGTGAACATGAAATCTGTTTTGCTTATATTTTGCTTTTACTTTCCAGTTCATGTCTATCATGGGAGACCAACATGCTCAGGCAGTGGCAGTTTAAGGCCAGCTCCCAGGTGCCTGGAGACCCAAGCTCTCACGCCACATTGAGTCTGCTATTAAAGTGACTGAAAGTCTTTACATGGACTATAATGGAACTTGTATTGGGACCTTCAGCTCAGCTGATTGCTGCCAGCCCCTGGAAATATACTATCAAATCCCTCCCTCCCACTCTGCAGGTGATGGTGGGAGAAAACTCTTCCATGTCCTGTATCACAAAAGTATAAGGGCAGGTGCTCTGTCCTCTCCCTTATGTGTAGGGAGTAAGTAGTCCAGCCAGCAGCAGCAACTGAGAACCTTACTCCAGCACTCTGGGTCCATGGCAGAGGAGGGAAGAGACAGAGAAGTCAATGGCCACCAGTCAGTGCATACCAGGCAAAAGGGCTGGGGAGAGTCAGTGAGACTGCACACGTGAGAGAGGAACTTGGCTCATAGTTTTAAATTTCGGAGCCTCTATTACCCATTGTGGTGCTATTTTCATGCTCTTCTCAAATTTGGCTTGCCAAGTCGGGACCTGCTGGCAGCCAAAGGGTTAAAGGCATGTGTTTCTAAAGTGAAAAGGAAAATGGAAGCAGGTTCAGTATTCAGAATAAGCAATTTTGCGGTAAACAACTTATTGCACACATAGAGCATCTATCAGACATAAGAGGTTTCTGTCTTACCACACAGCACACTGTATGTTGCTACTGATGATGTGAAAGCACACAGTCTAAAGAGGCTGCTGTTCTTGAACTTGAGAAACATTTTCAGATAGAAAATTCTCGTGAACTCAAACAAATATATTACTGAGTATGAACTACATTAAGTGCTCCATCTAGTGGCCAGAGAGCAGCTAAACCACAGCAGGTCCCACAGCCTCTATAAAAAGCATTCCTGTACATTCTCCGTCCTGTCTGCTTAAGATTCAAGCTTCTTCTCTTTGCCTGTAAGGACCTATATAACATGCAAATATATGTTGCTATGTTTATGCATCTGCAGAGATTATTAGTGTTCCAAACCCCCAAACAGATTTCTGACTATTCTGTCTGTCTGTCGGTCTGCCAAATTACTGTGTTTATACCACACTTGTATATGAGTGCCTTTGGCTCATTTATTTTCTGTTTTTATGTTCAGAGTCAAGATGCCACCGTCTAAAAACCAGAGTCATGCTTAATCCATTATGGGAATCTCAACTGTACTTAAACACAGATTTAAACTCTGTATTGTTTAGGGCTGAAAGTGAACAGACTATCCAGTCAATGTCCCAAATATTTGGCACGTGCAGCAGAGCAAAGCTAAACGAAGGTGTAATTATAGGAACTATCTTCTCAGATTTCACATTTTCTTTTCATATTCACAGAAGTCCAGACAATGAACAAAGTTACGATGATGTTGAATTTGGTTCAGATGGTAAGAATACATTTTAACTAATAGCAACCATTTAAGAATTAAGTTGTATTTATAATATAAGTGACTGGCATAAATATTTATGGTGTTATTGAACTGCAAGTCATATTTTGGAGTGGTGTACATTCTATAACAGCATTAACCACTCCACAATCAACATGGCAGGCACTTTCTCTTAGAAAGCCTTGTTTTAGCACCCGCGTAACTTTGGCTTGGAAGATTTGCTGAGCCTAATAACTTTCAACGCTGATCTGGAATGAATACTCTTTTTTCAGAGTTGTTGTGTTCTCATGAAAATGCATTGCTTTTATACTGGATAAAAGTAATTTGCTTGTTAGGTATGAGCGTCACTTTGCCATCTGCCCTGAGCAAGGGCCAGCACATAGTTGTATTGTACAGGAGTAGCCCAAGAAGCAGATTATGACTCTCTCTCCTGGTCTCCCCTAGGGAGAAAGTAAACTGTGCCAGGGCTATACCAGCCGCAGTGGACCTCACTCAGTATTCTGGCCAGCACAGCATGTAGTGGGGTGGAGATGAAGCCTGCTACCCACTTGCACAGCCTGGGAATATCAGCAGCTCTGCCTAGCCTTCTCTTCCTATGCTGCAGGCCATACTATAGCTAGCATGCACAGGAGAATACAGCCCTTATGCCTCCATACTCCCTGCCATGGCTGTGGAGGGCTGGTGGTGCACTAGCCCTATGTGACCAGTGTACGGTTTTTCGTTCTTATCTATTCACTTCCTTGCTTGTAAGTGGTTGGATTTTTGTAAACTGATATGATAGGCAAGGACACTGTTGTCTCTGAGGAAGCTTTAAAGTGAACATTCTGGTTTGGGGTGTATGTGATACAATACACACTATGGCAGATGAAGTGAAAGTCCTTAAATCAGATACTGCTAGAAGTTTAGAAAGTACCACAGTAGGAAGCTCAGTTCATCCCAATTAGTTTCCATTCTTATCCTCATTAAAACAGATAAGATTCATTATAAATCTATATTTGGCACTAGTTAAGGTACAGCTGTGTATGTGCCCATATAGTTAGCACCAGCATGAGGCACTTTCTCTACAAAAGAAAATAATAGTCTGTTTATTTTTATTTTTGGTCATTCAGGTCATGGAAATACAGATGGGGTAAGTATTATCCTTTATAACACACTGAAAACATATTCTTTCCAATACATCACTGCATTAGAAAAGCCAGTTTGTTGCAGAATAGATCCAGTATATTGCTGATAAATTGGAGAACTGTAGAGGGCAACAATGAAAGTAGCTGAATCCAGAACAAAAGTGGGACTAATTATAAAGCTGGCCAGAAGCCAAAAAGTTCACAAAATCTTCCATTTCCACTTTCCACTGACATTTCAGTTTCACTGAAACTTTCCAGAGATATAGGCCTATTTCATCAAGGTACTCAATCACGTGCCTAATTTTAAGCACGTGAGTATCCCTGTTGATTTCAGTGGGACTACTCATGTGCTTAAAATTAGGCATGTGATTAAGTACCTCACTGAATCAGGGCCTCAGTGGCTTGCCCAAGGTTACACAATAAGTCTCTGGCAGAGTCAGGAACAGAACTCTAATCTGAGCCCTATTCCAATACCTTCAATAGATTTGCCCCCCTCAATGCATCATCTCCCATAATTAGTTTTTAACTCTGGTCCCTTTCAAGCCATGCCATCTTTCAGATGCAGTGTAACCAAAGTTACAGCACAGAGACTCACTTCAGAATAAACAATCAATGTGTGTGTGTGTGATGGGAAGGAGGCTGTTTTTTTTTATATATTTTATATTTTTTATAAATATAGATATAGATAGATAATAACAACCAAGGTCAGAACAGAAGAAATACGTATTTGAACAATTTAGTACAGGGGTGGCCAACCTGAGCCTGAGAAGGAGCCAGAATTTACCAGTGTACATTGCCAAAGAGCCACAGTAATATGTCAGCAGCCCCCCATCAGCTCCACCCCTACCCCCCGCTCCTAGCACCTCCCGCCCATCGGCAGCCTCTCCTCCTCCCTTCCTGCACCTCCCGATCAGCTGTTTCATGGCGTGCAGGAGGCTCCAAGGGGGAGGAGCGAGGGCATGGCAGGCTCGGGGAAGGGGTGGGAAGGGGTGGAGTGGGGGCAGGGCCTATGGCAGAGCCAGGGGGTGAGCAGTGAGCACCCCCCGGCACATTGGAAAGTTGGCGCCTGTAGCTCCAGCACAGGAGTCGGTGCCTATACAAGAACCCGCATATTAACTTCTGAAGAGCCGCATGTGGCTCCGGAGCCACAGGTTGGCCACCCCTGAATTTAGTAATTTGGGCATGGAAAGATTAAATGCATTTTCAATTAATTATTTTTCTGCTTTAATGTATGTCTGTTTGTATCTAGCTATAAAATTGAACTCCAGTGTATTTGGGCCATTGGAAACTGAATCATGATTAATTTTTCGTATAGGGTCAAGAGAGTGATGGAGAGACGTATGAAGATATCAATGACATCAGGTATCAAATCTAACTTATACACCTATAATCCGTTGTGTCTTTGTTACTGAATGAAGAAACAGATCACTACGAAATATGCTAGGAAATATACTTCATCTGGCCCAGAAGCTTGACTGCACTGCAATCTTGGGCTCCATCCACCTTAATCATCTTCCCTAAAGAAAGCATATCAGTTTACAGGTTAACTCCCTCCTAGAACTAGATGTAGCATGCGGGTAGAGATGCTTCCTCAAATGAAGTCCTGTGACTATTTTGAATTGGGTAGTAAAAGAGTGTGCTCTTCAGCTCTTTGGAACATGGCTGAGCTGCTGCACAGAGTTACTGCCTGAAATGGGAACAAAATATAACACCACCACCCCAATACTAGTTGAATTATTTTGTTAATGTTGTTGTTCTCAAAGTGAATTTTAATAGAGCTCATGAAACTGTTGGATTGACATCTCCACGGATCTGAAACCCCCTATGTGTCCACAGAGCAGGGACAGTACAGACAGCAGAAATGCAAGCTTCCCTCCCACTGAACTGCTGCAGTGCCCCTCATCAGAAGGGACCACCAGCCTACCTCACAACCTCCTAAGGCCCACATGTGGGAAGCAACCTGTGACAGAGACCCAAAATGAGGGACACACAAAAATATCTCATGCAGGAAAGCTAAAGCACTGTGGAAGGCTTGTCTTTTGGGTAGTTTTATGATTCTTTATTTCTAAGGCAAAATGATTTTCAACAATAAAAGTGAAGGGGACACAAAGTATGCATGGAACATAGGTGATGTTGAGACTGAAATGAGTGATGGCTCTCAAAATGAGGTGCATTTGAGTTATACGGAGGGTAATGCAGTAGTTCAACCTCTGGGCCCGTTCAAGTCAGTTCAACAGAAGCACACAAAAAACGGGGGCTACGTTATACCTGTGAGACTCATTGCTGTGCAGTGGGGAAGAACATCATTAGGGACAATGCTTTCAGGGTGCTGGGAAGTAACAAGTCTTGCTACACATTCCAACGCTATAGCCAGTCCTCTCTATTCCACCCCAGGGCTCACCTGCTGGTGCTGTCCAGCATGCAGGAGCAGGGCCATGCCTCTCAGACATGTCCTACACTGCAATTAAAAAGCCGTGGGTGGCCTGTGCCAGCTGATACGGGTTCCTGGAGCTCAGGCTAAGGGGCTGTTTAATTGTGGTGTAGACGTTCAGTCTCAGGCTCAGGCTGGAACCTGAGTTCTAGGACCCTGCGATGTGGGAAAGTCCCAAAGCTTGGGCTGCAGCCTGAACCTGAATGTCTACACTGCAATTAAGCAGCCCCTTAGCCCAAACCCCATGGGCCAGCCACGGGTGTCTAATTACAGTGTAGACATACCCTCTGGGGTTACTGTCACTTTGGGCCTTTCCAGCATAGCCAGCTAAATTATGGTTGCATCCTGTGCACATGCCTTGTAGGGAAAGGGTCTCTAAATACCCTCTCCCATATGTAGCTCATCCATGCAGGACCAACCACCATAGGGTTCAGAAAGTGTTTTCATGCTCTTATTAGGAGAAGTCTCCTCCTAGCTGCTCTTGCTGATCTTGGAAGAGAAAGCTCTAGTGAGGGCCTACCCACTTCTGCCCACTCGCTTCTACATTCATCCCCTTACCTGTGAAATAATCTGTTTTCATTGTTCAGAGCCACATCAAAAGAACAAGAAAAGAAGAGAGAGAAGGAAGAAAAGAAAAGATTGGAACAAGAGAAGAAAGAACAAAGGGAAAAAGAAAAGAAAGAGCAAGAAATCAGAAAGAGGTTCAAAGTAAGGTCCCTTTCTAGCAGGCTACACAGAGAAGTGCATCAGGCATTATTTAGCCTTGTACAGTTTAAAACATACATTACAGTGCAAGGACATAATTTGGCTGCAAAGCTGCATGGTGATGCCAGCTTGTTTGTTTGTCCCCTGGACTAAGCCTCAGGAAGGGCTCGATCCTCGATCCAGCTGGCACCGAAAGAACTTAAACACACACTTGAATTTAAGCATGTGAAATTTCCCATTGAAGTCACAAGTATTTCAGTGCTTACAGGGCCTGATTCTCATTTCCACAAAGTCTCCTGTACGTCCATTGGTAGTGTAAAAGGGCCTTAACATATATATAACTGTACTTTACAGTTTACAGCCCCTTTACACTGCTAAGGTAGCATAGAGGGGCCTTAGTGAAAAGGAGAATTAGGTCCACAGTGTTCACATGCTTAAAGTTAAACACATGCTTTGCTTAACTGGGCTGGAGCACCTTCCAGGATTGAACCTGTAAATGACCTTTGCATGGAGGAGCAACACTTGGGACAGAAGTATGAAATCTCCTAGCTCAATACAGAGGTTGGGAATGAGGCACCTGAGCCACAGCCACTACTAAAGCCCATGGTGTGTATTAGTGAGCCCAGTTCATTGTGCCCCAAAGCCCTTTACACATAGTTTGTAACCAGCGGACCCATGCAGTCTGCAAACCCACTAGTCATTCTCCACCATCCTTGTTTCCTGCCCACAACCCCCTGCCATGTCCCTGCAGAGAAACCAAAGAAACCACAGTGATTCTTCTGTGTCTAGGGCATCCCACCACTGTGGAAAGGCTGAGAAGATTTGGCACTTTGGATAGTAAATAGTGGACACAATAGCAATGTATCTACTTGTGTGTTTTTCAGGGATCTGCCCCCAAATCCCTTTCTCACACCGAATCCTTGGCTGAAGTATATGCATTAACATGCTCAGTGTTTTTAGGCTATAGCCCATCCTATCATGGAGGCTAAAATGTATCATTATCCATAAATGCAAACATGCAAACAAACACGTTGGTGTGTTCATCTAAACAGATATCTTCTCTTTTGTTGCCCCTTATGCACAGAACACCCTTCCTGCACTGCTCCACATGGCCACTACCCAATCCACAATCAAATCTGTCCTACACGCCACTTCTTTCATGATGCCTGAATTCAAGAAACTGGCTGATTGTGGCCAGCTTCTGGATACTTGGGGATCATCTGTACAGCATATCTTGAAAAAAAGATCATTATGTGCTGGTCAGCACTTACTCATATGAACAGTCCTACTGAAGTACATGGAACTGCTCCTGTGAGTTAATAAATGTTCACCTATGTGAACAAGGATTACATAATCTAGCCCTATGTTATTAATACATTGTATTACCAAGATGTGGCCAATTAGTACCTCAACTGCTTTAATTATATGCTGTACCCCTCCCCTACACCCTTTGCTTTTTAGTTTGTCTTTAAAGTGTAAGCTGTTCGGAGCAGGGCCTGTGCCTTTGTGTTTGTTCGCAAAGTGCTCATGTGGGTGGTACTGAAAACAAATTATTATTGTTTTGTATTTCATTTGATTTTTTGTCAAAGCAATCAGCACATCCTCTGCATGTTTGTATGTGTGTGTGACTTCTCTTATTGCTTTTTCTGTGCAGTTATCCGGACCCATTCAAGTCCTTCATCAGGCACGAGCTTGCATGGACTACAAGGGAGGGAAGAATGAGCTGACTGTGAAACAGGGTGATAATATTGAAATCATCCGTATTACAGAAAACCCTGAAGGAAAGTGGCTGGGCAGGACAACAAAAGGATATTGTACGTTCTGATTCTCCACTTTACCCCTGAATGTTTGCCCTGTCAAACACTGACTGCCTGAGTACGTACAGCATTACATGGGAGAGTAATATTAGCTAGGCTGGGTCCCCAGCCAACATGGGCAAGGACATATAGCACAAACTGCCAAAGCTCATCCTGCTGTGCTCATCTGACGTGGGGTACAGCTCGTACAGTAAACTTATGTACAATAGAGTGTCAAACTTAGAGATTCTAGGATTAGCTAAGGACAATGGGCCAGATCCTCACTGGAGCTACACCAGTTTACACCCACTGAGGATGTGGCTCAGTGTGTCTGCCTTAGAGTCAGCACTGGAGCTTGACTCTGTGGAAGTATTTTAAGAGCAGTCAAAAAAAAGAGAGAGCTTAGATTAGATAAAATGTTGCATTCAAAAGACTAAAGGGCCCAAATTTCCCCTCATTTACAGTCACTGGAGTTACACAGATATAAGACTGGTGTAAGTAAGAAGAAAAGTAGCCTTTAGAACTTCCTACCAGTCTCAAGAAAAAATGGGAACATTCCAACTTTTTATCTGAATATTGATTCCTAAAATCAAAAGTTGTTTTGAAATCTAAAATGTATCTTTTCTTTTTCCCATCCCTACCCTTAGCCCCAGCCCCAGCCCCACACACACATATGCAGCTAGGGCCAGATCATCAGCTGGTGTAAATCAGTGAAATAAGTGGAACTATGCTCATTTACACCAACTGAGGATCTGGTCTCTAATTTACAGAGACATGGGCATTAGGGTCTTGATCCAGCAAAGCATTTAAACACAGGCTTAACTTCAAGAACATTAGTAGTCCCATTGACTTTTGTGGGACTACTCGCATGTTTAAATGCTTTGCTGGATCAGGGCATAAGTGCTTTATGAGAATGGGCATGCTAATTTATACTTTAAAAGAACCTCTCATTTTTAAAAATATGTTCTATTTGGGAGGTTTTATACACACAGAAAAAAATCTCTGTAGAGGAGTTGTCACAAGCCAATTAGTTTCACTTATTTTGGCTTGTCATAAACTGATTTTATTTCAGCAAAAGCAGAAGTTGTACCAGCCTTCCCATGGGTGAAGGTTAAAGGTACAACTCAGCGTAGTTCATCAATGTTTCAACCTGAATCTTATCTGCCTACTTAAAAGCATACAAACTGATAAGAGAGGGGAGGGCTTGAAAAGGGAATGAGAGTATCAAATGGTATAAAAAACAGTATTTATAATTATTCACTTGAAATAAGCAACAATGACTTTGTTTGTGATTTACTTTCCAAGTTTCCATCATTCCCCCGCCCTCCAGTTATTTAATTTTCATGTGGAATTCAGATGTAGGTTAGAGGGAAAATGCATCAGAAATTTGGGCTGCTGCAGCAGGAGAGGAGGAAGGGTTTTCAGGGCTCATTCCTATGTGCTTTTCTCAGTTTTGAAAGAACATATTCATGCTTATTGTCAAATACAGTCGGTGTAGTCAGCATGCCTATCATTTTATCGCTTAGCAGATACAGTGTTTAAATCCATCTTATTATTATAGAAATTTGCCAGGGACATCTACACAGTAAAGTCAAGTGCAAGTGATAAAGGTGGAGGTTCCAATCCTCAGATGCTTTGTACTGCTCCTCCAGCCATGATACCCAGGTAGCAAGAGAATCACTCCCATGTAGGCTGAATCTGCAGTGGTAAAGGGCCGGCATAGTGACTTCTATGTACTTCTCTATGAGCTCACAGCATAAGGAGTGTGGCTATAACGTCCCTGCATCTTTGTGCTCTATCTATCAGCCTGTTTGGACCATAGACTGCTTTAAGTTAGGCTGGAGGACTGGCCATTTGCACAGTAACCCCAGGATTAACTGAGAAAAGGTGTCTTAAAGCAACTTTGCCACTTGCCCCACTCCCCACCAGCTGCACTGCACACTCCTCTGCTACAGTTGAGCATACGACCCATGGTCTCTAGTGGATATCACTGTAGTGATTATGTAGTGTTAACTCATCTTTATAATGGGGGCTATGTTTCCAAGACAAGGGGCCTGATTCTCCTATGACCCAAGTGTGTCTAAATCCATTGAATTCAATGAAGTTACACCTGATTTGCACAGTGTAAGTGGAGGAAATTAAGGCCCAACATGCTTAGATTCAGAAATTTCTATAGAGTTATTCAGCCACACAATACAACTGGAATCATTTGAGTTCTCAGCCTTCTATTAAAGTCCTTCCTTAGCTGTTGAGTTTTAAAATGAAAATTGTTGCTGCTTGATCATAAGTTTTCATTGTTTTAGATGGATACATTAAAACAACCATGGTGGAGATTGACTATGATTCTTTAAAAAGAAAACAAAGACCTTCCATGAGTGCTTCCCTGAGACGTGTAGACAATGACCAAGAAGTTTATGATGATGTTGGAGAGCAGGACAGTATCAGCAGGTACGTGTGAATCCACTCAAGGAAGTTGATTTAATCCAATTTGATAGATTAACCCAACCAACCGAAATGAGGAAAACTACAACACAGGAACAAAGCATTTTTTACTTTGAAAAAGAATATATTCTTGCTGACACAAAACATCAGATTTTAAAATACCTGAAATTACAGTGAGCGTAATTAAAAAACCAGCATATGCTGGTCTGAGGCATTTGAGTTTTACCATAATATTTCCTGTACTTAGAATGGGAAATACTACAAATTCCATGGTGAAGTTCACTACCATGGCACATTAAATGCTGCTTGTTTAATGATTCCCACTGTATGAGTTGGAGGCATTGTGGGACTTCCTTCCAGGCAGTCTGTAACTTTAAGTTACAATATCTAAGCCAATCCGTTCAATATGCCTGTCTTAGTCAATATTTTCAGCTTCAGAAGCCATCTTGGTTGTTTAATCAGGCATCCAAATCATTTCATAATTCATTTCAGCTCTAGGTTCAGAACATCAGACTGTCAATACAATCAAAACAATACTGGGTGACGTAAAACTTACTGTCAGATCTCCCGCAAAGAGTTGAGATATATGAAAGAAGACAAAATCCTATCTCATTTAGCTAATTACATTCTCTGTGAGAAGAAAATGACTCTGAACTGCAAACTCTGGATTAAATCTGTAAATTCTTTTTCAGTAGTTACACTGCCTTTTTTTAGGCAAAACTTCCACTGACTTCACAAGTACTTCAGGATTTGGCCCAATGAGATGCATGCTAGGCTGTGAGTAGAGTGGCTGTTCTCTATTTACCACAATTTATGACACTGCTCAAATTTTTGCAAATATAAAACAGACTCTTGTAGCAAATGAAAAACAGTTAATCATATAAGAAAAATGTAACTGGCCTAAAAAGAATGAAGTAGTGAGAGAAGTAAGAATGAAAGAAGGAATCCAGCATCTAGAAGCATTTATGCATAATGGAGTATGATAACAGTGGAAGTGTAGAAAATACTAGCAGAACTCCATAGAAGACAATGAGATGAAATGCAGGACTCCCATAGATGAAGCACAAAACAGATCACAGAACAAACAACACAGTTCTCTCCTTCTCTTAAAATCGCATGCTGCCCTTTCTAGTCCACAGGTACGAAAGGCCCTAAAAGCAAAGGAAGCATTGCAGCTGCACAGGTGTACTCCTCACCCCCATGCATTCCCTCAGCCCATGAGCCTTGGGCCCTCTGTGTCTCTTTACATGAATATGGAGGGATGTTTGGAGGCATGACTGGCATAGACCTCGGGAGGGATCAGTGGATAATATAGTTAACCTCCCAGCCTCAACAAATGCCATATCCAGGCTGTGGAGGATTTCCCTTGTGGAGGAGAATCCTCCAGTGTCATGCAGCCATCCTATTAGTATCTAGGATATTCCCCATTTCTTGACATACAGGTGTGGCTGGGATAAAGGGGGGGTGGCTGGGTTGCGGCTGCACACAGCTTTTCCTCGGCTGCCAAAACATCCCCTGAGTGCTCTGGGCAGCTGGACATAAAATAACTGCTGTCAGGATAGTATTTTCTCCCTATTTTAAGAGGGGACAAAATGAGCAACTAGTGCTTCCCTGGAGCTGGGAGCAGAGAGGTTGCTTAAAGCTACCTTCCTCTGCTGCACATTGGATTACGCCAAGCACAGTTTAGCCATACCGACGAATCAAGCTACACTCACTAGTCCAGGTCAGAGTCAATTCCAACATTAGGTACCTCACTGCAAAAGTATTTTTAGACCTCTCCTTTTCATGATGGACATTACAGTCATTCATTTCAATTCAAGGAATTTAGATGTGCTATGTTTGCAACAGCCAATCAGGATGGATGCATATTTATTTATTAAACTGGATTATTCAGAAAATAGTAGACTATATATGTGGGTTTAAGTATGATCCCTTATACTTTTGTGTAATACTAATAACAGTAAAAGGCTGTACAGTGAATAAAGGGCTGGAACTTGCTTTTAGAGTCCTGTAATTCATTAAACCCTTCAAGCTATATTCTGGCATTTTTATCATCTCTAGTGATTTATAGCCTTGTATTCAGTTCATGAGCTTGAATTATCCTGCATATATCAAAATATCTGACACATGCACCAATATGTTTTGAGACCAACATAAGATCCCCATAATAAAAAACTTGTTGACGAAAACTTATTGTAACTGGTAATGTGTCATTGGTAATGACTCCAATGTTTAATAAAAGCCTAAGACTGCTGAAGTTCATGATATACTGAAATTTGATGGCATAAGGCATTTTAAAGAAAAAAAATTATGTATGGTTTTGATTTGAAAGTAGGAATGCTTAACTTGCTATAACCCTGCTATTGATTGCATTGAATCACAGTTAGAAAAATGGGCTCATACCAATTTATATAGCACTTGGAATACTCTAGGAACATGAAATTTAGAAAATTAAGGCATCACTTGATCAGACCTAGTTAAGGTGTATTGTCATAATTTCATTTATTTTCCTTTATGTCTTATGAAAATGGCATGATCGGGGATGGAATCTTATCTATATATACATTGGACTAAAGTTTTGGGGTTAGGTTATGCCACCCTTACTTACAATAAGAAATACATTAGTCCATTAATAGTCTCACTGATGTCAACAGGAACATAAAGTACATCTACAATTAAATATAGTGATGAGTGCCATAGAAATACCTACAAATATAAATAAATAGTAGCACTTCTTTCTGAAATCAAATGAAAATGATGCTTTGTTGGAAATTGCTAACAATGTTTTAAAGAACAAGGAGCAAATTTTCTGCTCAAGTAAATTGGCACAGCTCTATTGTCTTTAGTGAATCTGTACTAGTTTATATACACAGAGAATTTGGGTCCTAACTTTTTTCCCAAGATCGAGTCCCCTTGTTTGTTTTTACATTAAACACAGGGCTATAGATAATTGTCCCATATTTCTTCTGGAATGCTACTTTATAATAATCTTGGGTGCCTCTTTCTTTGGGATGAACTATTCCAGAGGAAGGGGGTAGGGACAGCAATTTTTGGAGTAAAATACTAGGTTAACAGAAAATATTTGACATATTCAAATCATTTAGGGTTCATCTCTCTTCATATAAGAGCCTATTCATTCGTGAATTGGATGAGGAGCTCCCTTGCGCATCAGTGAGAGAGAAACCAGTTTCTGATTTTGGGTGCCTAATGGGCACTCATGTATCATAGTGATGAGTGTGGTGAAGAAAGACAGAGAGAGAGAAAGAATTGGTACATTGGGGCATTTAGAAGGTCAGTATTTAGGCACGCAAAATGGACATTTACTTTCCTGAGTGCCCATCTGAGCATCTAGATGTAGGATTGGGTTGTAGTATTTGGATGGATCCATGTGTATTAAAGTATACTACATTTAGAGCATATGTCAAGAAAAAGTGTGGGTGTTTGTTGTTTTCTTTTTACAATGAATGAAAAGTTCTTTAACTTTTGTTCTTCCAGCCAAAGTGGTGGTAGAAGTGGAACTGGAGGTGAGTTTTATTTTTGTTACATCTATTTTTTTGTGTGTGTGTTTTATTTAGTACTTACCTACAGATGCAGACCTTTGTGGTTTCCAGATAAGGGGGTAATTACCCACAAGTATGCAAATATTATTTAGCAAGTGGTAAACTATGAGGCGCAATGGTTTAATGCAGTTGCCTTTCACCTGTGGAAACTTGGATGAATCAGAAGTTTCAACTCGGGATACAGTGAATCTGAAGTATGATCATAATCACGGTCCGGGGGCCTGTTTTGTTCAACATCTTTATTAATGATCTGGATGATGCGATTAATTGCACCCTCAGCAAGTTCGCAGATGACACTAAGCTGGGGGAAGAGGTAGATATGCTGGATGGTAGGGATAAGGTCCAGAGTGACCTAGACAAATTGGAGGATTGGGCCAAAAGAAATCTGATGAGATTCAACAAGGTCAAGTGCAGAATCCTGCACTTAGGAAGAAAGAATCCCATGCACCGCTACAGGCTGGGGACCAATTGGCTAAGCAGCAGTTCTGCAGAAAAGGACCCGGGGATTACAGAAGACCGAAGCAGGATATGAGTCAGCAGTGTGCCCTTGTTGCCAAGAAGGCCAACGGCATATTGGGCTGTATTAATAGAAGCATTGCCAGCAGATCGAGGGAAGTGATTATTCCCCTCTATTCAACAATGGTGAGGCCACACCTGGAGTATTGCATCCAGTTTTGGTCCCCCCACTACAGAAGGGATGTGGACAAAATGGAAGAGTCCAGTGGAGGGCAACGAAAATGATTAGGAGGCTGGGGCACATGACTTACGAGGAGAGGCTGAGGGAACTGGGGTTATTTAGTCTGCAGAAGAGTGAGGTGGGATTTGATAGCAGCCTTCAACTACCTGAAGGGGGTTCCAAAGAGGATGGAACTAGGCTGTTCTCAGTGGTGGCAGATGACAGAACAAGGAGCAATGGTCTCAAGTTGCAGTGGGGGAGGTCTAGGTTGGATTTAGGAAACACTATTTCACTAGGAGGGTGGTGAAGCACTGGAATGGGTGACCTAGGGAGGTGGTAGAATCTCCATCCTTAGAGGTTTTTAAGTTCAGGCTTGACAAAGCCCTGGTTGGGATGATTTAGTTGGTGTTGGTCCTGCTTTGAGCAGGGGATTGGACTAGATGACCTCCTGAGGTCTCTTTCAACCCTAATATTCTATGATTCTATGAGATTGAGGATGATTGCAGACACTAGTCTACACCATCAAAACATCATGTAAAATGGCAAAATTTCAGTATGACTGAGAGTTTCTGCTCAAAAGAAACCAAACACTGAAATAGCTAGGTATACTGGCAGTCAAAATTATGGTTCACTGGCAGAGCTAAGGGGGAAGTCTGGTTCCAGTCATATTTTATAGGCCTAGACTCTGATCATCATCCTCTCAGCTTAGTTGAGGGTACTTGTCAAGAATGGAAACTGTCATCCCCCCGCACCGCTCAGCAACGCAGAAGGAAGATCCCACCCAACTAAGTATTGTTCTCAGTTGACAGTCTGAGCAGAGAGGCCAGAGATTGACGGGACAGGGAGACTGAACTACCCTTTCATTCCATCAGGTGGTGCCCATAGATCAGGATTGAGGCACGGGGGGGGGAGGGGCAATATGCGGAAGCTTGCATTGCTACTGCCTCTGATTCACATCTTCTGTACATGAATAGAATGTTGGTCTGGCACCTTTATGTTCATCTGGCACCTTTCACCTGTACTAAAGTCACACACAAAAATAAAATTAAAAAGTTACAAACCCTGTTACTGAGTTGGTCAAAAGGATAATAGCTCTCCAGTTTTCATCAATTACTTATTTGTTTTCAATGTTCAACTTATTATTATTGGCATTATTTTATTTACATACTACGGGCCAGTCTCAAGTTGATATAAATCAGAAGCGCTTCATTGACAAAAGGAGCTCTGCTAATTTACACCAGCTGAGGACGTAGCCCAGTACATTTAACATTACAAGTGCCTTAGAGAAGTAGCAGCCTATAGCAAACCACTGGTTAATATCCCACTGTAACAGAATCGGAGTATTCATGGATTATTTCACTTTTCGATCTATTAAAGTGATGTTCCCACCTCCTGTCCCCGATGAAGAAATTTATGATGGAATTGATGACGAAGATGTTAATGCTAGGTAAGTGTTTATATCATTTATGATTGTTACCCATTTGAACTCAGTCCCATAGCTTTTTATTTTAACATTTTAAATTTGGGATAATAATTAACAAGTATTTGGCTAGCTCTTCAGTTGGTGTAAACATGAATGGTTCCACTGACTTCAAAAAGACACACAGAGCTTGAATGCCACCAAACTATTCCAGCAGTGAACAGATTAAAAAACAAGAAGGCATGAACTGAAGATAAGACCTGAACTCTATGGTACTTCTGGAAAGATTTTTTTTAAACAATAAGATAATTAATGTGTGGAATGGATTAATAAAGGCAGCAAAAGAAGCTGCATCCAAAACCCAACTGGACAGAATAATCCTTAGAGGAAAGGGAAGAAAAGTACAGATGCTAGCTTGCTAAATGACATACAAACATTAAATGTGAATGTCCTAAAAGAGCTGGATCATTTTCTTCCAGTCCAGGATGTTACTCACTATAAATGCCTAAAACAGGGGATACTTTCTGGCTCCTTCCACCTTCCCTCTCCTATACATTACACTGCACTGTTGGGAAGGCTTCCAGTGCAATGCAGAGTTGTACTTAACACTTTCTACTTTGCTGTAAGTACACTGCAGTATGTCCGATCTTGTGTGTTTGTGCTATATAGGCCTCAGTCTGCAACCAACCCCTCTCAAGCAGACCTTTGCAACTGCACTGAGCCAATCACAGGATTGGGGCCTTAGACCCTGATCTTACAGCACATGCCTAACTATACTCATATGTCTAGTCTTATTGAGCTGCATAAGACTATGCAAGAGTTAGGCATGTGGTTATGTATTTCCAGGATCCGGGCCTTAGTTAGCCACTGGTTTTTGTATGGCTGTTGTTCTAATAGCATTTTTAATTCTATATTTATTAAGTACTAACATTTTAGAAAATAAGTTAACAGGTGTCTATTCTCACTTCATGGCATGCCCCTAGTTCTCACTAACGAGAATTACGTGCATCAACCAAGAGCTGAAAATGGCCTTTTTGAGAGAGAATGTCCCATTCTGCATTGTGATAACTGCATGCATACTCCAAAGGTCTATATCACAGGATGAAGATAAGAATGACTCCCGGTCTTGGGGACTTTTGAAGATGTTAAAGGGAAAAGATGACAAAAAGAAAAGTGTACGAGAGAAAACAACCAAAGTCAATGAGGCAGAAGATAATGGAGGTTCCTCGTAAGAGTCTGCCATGAAAACATAGTGCACTACAACTAATGCTAACATACTGTTGATCATGTGCTACTAACATGTTCTCATAGCAACTTAATCAGTCACGAATCAAACTGCACACATATAAACAGATTTTGAAATAATATTGCTCTCCATTACCTACTGCAGCATGTCCTTTCCCATGCTATGCTATCTTTATTAATGACGGAATGTGTGAAGCGCATACATTTGATTTCAGATTCAAAGAGAATAGATGTCCCAATCCAGCACAGCATGTACACTCATTCTTTAATTCTTCTCTATTCAGTAAAACATTGATTTTAATGGGACTTCAGCGTGTGCTTAAAGTGAAGCATGTGCTTAAGTCCTTTGAAATAGGGATGGTCTGCTGAACTGGGTCCAAAATGCCTACTAATTGATTTATGCAAGCCTATAACATGAAATCATCCTATAAGATTGTCTTAGAACTGTCTAGAGAACATATTTTCAGTTGTATAATATAAGCATTCTGTGTTAACAAAATGTTTTTATTTACCCATATTCAATCACTAAATTAAAATATTATTTTTGCTGTGAAAAACAGAGGGCTTTATTCATCAGAACATCCCAGCTACTTTGTGCCTTTCTGGTGATACAACTTTATTATAAACTCAGCAGAAGATACTTTTATTTGCATCGCCAGCATGGCACTAACCAGCTGCTGTATACTAGTGAATCTGGCCCTATGAGCCCAAAATATGGATAATATGCAAAACAGAAGAATGGCAAAAATGGTCTCCTCCTCTTACCGGATCCTCCTCCTATTAAAAAAAACCTCTCCAGTTCTCCACAATTTCTGATTTCAAATACTCAGTGAAGCCACAAATCACATGCTCTCTATCTAAAAGAAGACTATGAAATATGGAGAAACATTAAAAAAAATCACAGCAGAACCCCTTTATTTGGTCCAATCCTACTCCCATTGGCTTTGTCAACAATTACAGTTTCTGGGTTATCTCCCACAGTTGTCATAAGACTGGTGCATCTCCTCCAATGTTACCAGTGCTGGAGAAATAGAGTAGAAATAGAGTAGACCAGTTCTGAACACCAGTTCTGAACATGTTTACCTGTTATACTGGTAAAAACCACATGACCATTTCTAGTGTTGGCGGAGTGGCACAAATTTAACAATAGGTAATGTGCAGCACCAGTGTTGTGAATTGGCTATCAGGGGTTTAAATTAGGAGAAAGTCTGTTCATTTGATTATAATTATTTAATGAAGATTGCATTTTTTTCAGCATGAATCCTCCAATAAAGATGTTTGGGAAAGGTAAGCAATAACCCAATGTTTTTCACTGTTTTATTTTTATATTAATTCTTGCAGCATCATGTAGTTAACACCAACACTGCTACATATATTGTCCTGAATTATGCTATTCACAGAAAAAAAATTATCAAAAATAAGAATCAGGATTTCCCATTGATTAAATTTTGAAATACCTCAGCTCACCTACAAATGTAATGTTGGGTCTGTAAAAGGCAGTGCACCTTTAATACAGTGTCATGATTTTTTGCTTATGAATCATAGAATCATTGAAGTGTAGGACTGGAAGGGACCTCGAGAGGTCATTTAGTCCAGTCCCCTGCACTCAAGGCAGGACTAAGTATTACCTAGACCATCCCTGACAGGTGTTTGTCTAACCTGCTCTTAAAATTCTCCAATGATGCAGATTCTGCAACCTCCCTAGGCAATTTATTCCAGTGTTTTTTGTAATGTCCAACCTAAACCGCCCATGCTGCAATTTAAGCCCATTGCTTCTTGTCCTATCTTCAGAGGTTAAAGAGAACATTTTTTCTCTTCCGCATGTCTTATTTCATTCATCATACAGTATAAATAGTTGTAGTTAGAAAGAAATATTGAATGCATAGTTTTAAAAATGTGCAATTATACAGAAGTGATGAACAGTTTTTTGTGTTTTTTTTTTAAATAATGCACTCTCTTGTTAAGGCCACAAACACTGGTAAATATCAACCCAGCTATGGAATATTCAGCAAATTCTTAAGATTCTTGCTGCTGCTGCTGCCTAGAACCAAAACTTAAGCCTACATTTCCTGTAATCACTTTTTTTAGGCACTGACTGACTTGATGTGTTGATCAACAACTAATGCCTTTCTGCAAACATATAAGGCCAGCTTCAAAGTATAATTTTGGGGCCTGATTCTCACTTATGCTATGGCCTCTTCCCACTGCTCTAGCAGTGTAAAGTATAAAGTAGTCCGGAAGATAACATAAATTTGATTCATGTCCAGTAAAAGGCATCTTTATATTACCAGAGTGGTGTAAAATGGCCTTAGTGTGAATGAAAATCAAGCCCAAAATGCATACTTTGAGGCAGCACAGTGGGAAATGACGTAATTAAATTGAAGATTAAAGGCCACTGCATTAACCAACATGTGCTAAAACTTGTTTAATCTTAAAAAGATTAAAATATCAGTGAATACCCATTGTTTATTATTAATAGTTTTATTCTGAAAAGACTGGCTGATTTTAGTGTAAATTTGTCCTGCATGTGAGACAATCCACAATGAAAAGCTGCCTGTTAACTATAAAATATATGGATACACTTCATGCTGCAATTTATTGTCCTCTTTAACATACATTTTGTTACAGCCTGGGACTGTATCCACTACCCAAGGACTGCATACTAATCTTTCATTGTTTTGAACCCTGCTGTTTCAGATGCAGGAGACAATGATGTTTATGATGATGTAGAATCATCCGAATTCCCTCCTCCACCAATAGAAATTGGGTAAGTGAAAATAAAAGCTATACTTGTGGGAAAAGATTATATATGCTATGACACATTTTCAAAGTATTTGCTATGGCAAATGGTTACATTACTCAGCTTGTGTATCTTGTTTGCTGTTGCCAGGTACTGTAGTTTTCATTGCCTGGGTGTTGGCACTGTAAGTTAAAAGTTCAAATCCTGCATTTGCAGTTAAAACAATAATGAAATTAGGCTGCTAGAGTAAATAGGCTTTGCAACATGCCCTGAATTTCAACAAATTCAGGCTCTGTTGGCCCAAAGGGAGAAATGAATTCCAGAGGCAAGGACTTCCTGCTGTAAATGCCCTGCCGTTAGTCTTTCTATTTAAACCTAGGGACTGACACCTTGAGCGCTATGTTTGATCTCAGCTGCTCCAGTATCATGTGAAGAGAGAAGGAAATCATAGAATCATAGAATATTAGGGTTGGAAGAGACCTCAGGAGGTCATCTAGTCCAACTCCCTGCTCAAAGCAGGACCAACCCCAACTAAATCGTCCCAGCCAGGGCTTTATCAAGCTGGGCCTTAAAAACCTCTAAGGTTACATCCCTAATATATCCAGGACCCAAGCCATTTAGAGACTTACCGTATGCGTTACATTAACACCTGGTTTTGTACCTGGAGATGAACTGGCAGTCAGGGCAGAGATGTATTACACTAATTTTATGTATTTTGATATATTATACACCTGGATCAAAGATGTATTACGCCGTTTGCTGAGAGGACCAGTAACTAAACAGGGTGTCATACTCTGCCCTTGCTGACTTTTCATGATAGTCTTCAGTATAGCCCCAGTAGAAAGCACCTCATTAACCCAGTCTGGAGGTGACAAAGACACAGAACACTAACAACATCCACATACAAAGGAAGGACCTGACCCACCATTTCCAGGCTATTTCAGCAGCCTACCTGTGTGAAACGTTCTGTGGTTTCCAGCCCTAGAAAGATCAGAAAGACAGGAGGTGGAGTCAAAGCTCAGCTTTCCAGAAGTGGAGGGATGGAGGGTGGCAAAGGAATTCAGTCTCTGCCACAGACAGTCTGACAGCATCACAAACACGGAAATAACAATGGCACTCTAGGTGGACCTGGTGTATATTTGTGTGGTGTAGATTCCCTGGAATAGTGAGGCAATGTGTGGTCAGGGCTGGCTCTACCATTTTTGCAAAACAAAACAAAAAGCCGCTCGGACTGCCACCCGAACTTCCGAAGCAAAAAAAACCCCCCCTGGACTGTTCCGCCCCAAGAATGGACGGAATGCCACCCCTTAGCATGTGCCACCCCAGGCACATGCTTCCTCTGCTGGTGCCTGGAGCCGGCCCTGTGTGTGGTCACATAGGCTTAAGGCTGCTACTCTGTGAGAGGCTAAAACTATCCAGGCAGCTCCACAATGGAACAGTCATCCAGATTACTCAGCCTGTTGCACCAAGCATACATGTTCCCCAGAAAACCACATCCTGCATAGGGTTCTAAAATGGTGTGTCATTTATCTAATCTATAGTATGTAGGTGAGAGGTATCTTTTGAATCGTTTTCTTATTTTGTGTGGGTAGTAGATAAATAACAGTCAGAACTCACATACACCTAATAAACATAGAAAAGAAAATATCCCTACTTTTTTATGCTTTTGAAAATCCAACTCTTAGTGTGTAATGATTATCCATATTAGCACAGTAGGTGTAAAAGAAATCGATCAAAGACAAATGAAGTGTAAATGCAAGTTTACTGAAGTGTCTGAAAGTGTATCACATCCTATCACATGTTACTAACTGTGTTTTGTCTCTAATCTGGTGTCTTAGATCATCATTAATTATGAAATCTCTGAGCCTGGGAAGGGGTAAATCAGATGAGAAAGACACACGAAAGCTTAAAAAGATGGAAAAAGAGGAGAAAGAGTTCAGAAAAAAGTTTAAAGTAAGTCTTATTTGAATACAATCTAAAAATGAAAATACTTGCATAATTTATTCTCAAATTTTTAAATTATCCATTGACTTCTTCTGCCACTGAAAGGTAAAGTACTCATTTTTGGAGATCACGTGATCAGCTTAAATGGAATAATATTTACTGTACTTCACTCAATATTTTAAACATAGCTTTAATAATTCCAATCATCAGCATTGATTTCTCCCCCTAAATATTGATCTTGCAAAGCTTTACATAAGAAATCCCATCAATTTCAATGGGATTACTACAGCAAGCAAGTATATTCTGCATGAACAAAGGTTTTCAAGGACAAGGCTTATCTCAGTTAAGTCAATACTTGATTAACAATGAAATAAAAAGAAATAAAATCAAAGCAGTTTTGAGTTACACAGAGTCAGTGAGTGCTTGTAATAATTGACAATTTACATCTTCAGAGAGCTGAGCAAAGTTAGATAGTTGATCCTCACAAGCACCTTTTGAAGTAGCAAAATATTACCATCCCCACTTCTATAGATGATGGAACTGACCCAGAGAGGTGAATTCAGAGGTGCTGAGATCCTCAGTTTTCCTGAATTAATCAGGGGTTATGGGTGCTCAGCACCCTAGAAATCGTAAGTGACTTGTCCAAATCAATGTAAAAACTCAGATTAGAACTCAGGAGATTCTGTAGCCAACTCTTCAGTCAGGGAATTGACCTGCTTCAGACTTTGGCTTTCATCCATCTGACACCCTTTTTGGTAAAGTTAAATTAAACTGCAGATGTTATATTAACATAAAATCTATATATCTTTTAGTTGTGTGTTCCTGTGGCAACTCTAGCTCTTTCAAATGACAGTTTAGGAACAAAGGTTAGTGCAATGATGTAGACTTGTTTATGTTCAGACCTACTGGATAAGGGCAGCAATTTTCAATGTTGCTTAGACCTGTCCTGCTGCCATCTGAAATCAATGGCAACTTAGGCCAACGCTCAGGACCTTAGAAGTATAGTAATTGGTACAAGATTAATTTACATTGTGAGGGCTTCTGCCTTATGTCTGACACTACCACAGTAGGCACGAATTAGTAATAACAGTACAATTCACACAGACTCATCATTTATTGTATCATTTTAATTAAAGCATATTTTTTTGCTTTGTGGTACGCAAAACATTAAACAGCTGCTGCAATTAATAACTGAAATAGGATGTAGGCATTAAAAGAGAGCTAGATACATTCATGGAGGTTAAGTCCATTAATGGCTATTAGCCAGGATGGGTAAGGAATGGTGTCCCTAGCCTCTGTTTGTCAGAGGGAGATGGATGGCAGGAGAAAGATCACTTGATCATTACCTGTTAGGTCCACTCCCTCTGGGACACCTGGCATTGGTCACTGTTAGTAGACAGGATACTGGGCTGGATGGACCTTTGGTCTGACCCAGTATGGCCAGTCTTATGTTCTTATTTAATCAATCTCAAAAACTATATGATGCAGGTATGCTGCAAAGTAATAAAGATCGTTCCTCTTACACAATAAAAGCACAAGAATGGCTATACTGGGTCAGACCAATGGTCCATCTAGCCCTGAATCCTGTCTTCCGACAGCGGCCAGTGCCAGATGCTTCAGAGGGAATGAATAGAACAGGGCAGTTATCGAATGATCCACCCCCTGTCGTCCAGTCCCAGCTTCTGGCAGTCAGAGCTTTAGGGACACCCAGAGCACAGAGTTGCCTCATTGACCATCTTGGCTAATAGCCATTGATGGGCCTATCCTCCACGAATTTATCTAATCCTTTTTTGAACCCATTCTTACTTTTGGCCTTCCTATCTTTTAATCAGTTACTGATCCATGAGAGGACCTTCCCTCTTATCCCATGTCTGCTTACTTTGCTTAAGAGCCTTTGGTGAGGGACCTTGTCAAAGGCTTTCTGAAAGTCCAAGTACACTGTATCCACGGGATCACCCTTGTCCACATGTTTGTTGATCCATCAAAGAATTCTACAGATTGATGAGGCATGATTTTCCTTTACAAAAGCCGTGTTGACTCTTCCCCAACATATTGTGTTCATCTATATGTCTGATAATTCTGTTCTTTACTATAATTTCAACCAATTTGCCTGGTACTGAAGTTAGATTTTCTGGCCTGTAATTGCCAGGATTGCCTCTGGAGCCTTTAAAAAAAATCAGCATTACATTAGCTATAAACCATAAAATAATGTTTGCCAGTATTTTACACACTTGGGACATGGATACAAACTGAATAAAATTGGTGCTTTTCTTGACAGTCTCAACACAGTGGCCAAGGACTGAACGATCTGTGCTCGGATTTTTAGAGTGATTCATCCAGCTCTGAGCTGGAGCATATTGGAAAACAGTGGGGGAAGTCTGCATTGCCACTGCCTGTGCTGTACCTGTTTGTTTGATGAAAGATGATTTCACTCTCCACCTATGCCAGTTCATTAACCTTCGCTAACACAAAAATTTCCCTACAAAAATTTAGAAATGAGTACAATTATTCAAAGGCAGTTGAATAATTGTGGGAAAGGAGTAGCCTATTGGGAAAGAAGTGATTTTGTTAGGTACACCTCATGTCAATAAGAGTTTGTCATTTGTGATTTTTTGACTGACTTGGATAAAATATACGGTATCCCATTCATTCACACCAAGGGCTGACTTTCAAACACTTTGACATGCAGTTGCATTCTTTATTTGTATCAGCAAATTGGGTACTTACATATGCAAATGGCTTTGCAGATGACATCAATTTGCTATCCCATACTCAGAGACCTGCAAGCCAAAATCAAATGATCCAGGCGACTAGGCCTATGCACAATTAGTGGGATTAAAAATCAGCACCAAGAAAACTAAAACCATGAGAATTAACCCACAACAAGAAACACCAATAACCTTTTCTGGGACTGACATAAAAAAATCCAATATTTCACATATTTTGGCAGCATTGTAAATGTCACAGGTAGAACAGACATTAAAGTCAGAATATCAAAAGACAGACATGCCTTTGTAATGCTAAAGTTGATCTGGAGAAACATAAATTTTGCCCTCCAGATTAAATTTCAAATATTTAACACCATTGTCAAGTCAATATTAATATATGGCACTGAAACTTGGAGACTTATTAAGACCTTACAATCTAAACTCTAAGTTTTCATAAACAGCTGCCTTAGACAAATCCTCAATATCAGATGGCCAGTAAAAAAACACAAATGAAGAACTCTGGAGGACAAAACAGAAACCGATAGGACAGGAAATTATGGAACGAAAATGGAGATGTCTAGGACATACGTGGAGGAAAGACCTGAATAATATAACAAGATAGACATAGGACTGGAACAGAGTCAGGGCAACAAGCAATGACCAGACGCGATAAATCGATCCCAGAACATCGGATGCCTGCCGCCGGACCCTACGGTAAGTGTAGACGTACCCCAAGAATAACACAGAAACACACAACAGAAGCAGAACCAAAAGCCATCAAAATAATATGGGAAGAAGCTAAGACTGCAGCAGCAGGAGATCAGCAAAGATGGAAAGCCCTATGTTCTGCATGGAATAAAGAGGTGTAAGAGATGTGCAGTCAGAAATATAGATACCATAACAGCGCACACAATTACTTGCCTAAGTTTCTGAAAACCAGACCATAAGTGTTAAGAGACTGTAACATAATGTATAAGAGACTATAAAGCTTGTGTAATGTTTGCATCTTGCATCTCTTTATTTTGTTTTTGCAGTTTGAAGGTGAAATTAGAGTTCTTTATTCCACTACGATTATCACAGATCTGCCATCTAAAAAATGGGGAGCAAAAGACTTACAAGTGAAACCAGGGGAGTTAGTTGAAGTTATACAAATCATAGATGATGCCAAGGTCCTGTGTAGGAATGAAGAAGGAAAATGTAAGTTATATAACACATGGTACAACATGACACATATTGTGGAACAAACTGGCAAGTAGAGAATAATAATTTACTGCATAACATCACTCATGAAACTAAAAGAACCACAACCTTGTTATGATCAAGCATTGACTGATGATCGCTTTTTCTGTTTGCTGTATGGCTGACAGCATATAGATTATTTGTTGTTATTATTTTGTTATTACTTATAGTAGTGCCTACACAAATGCATGATAAGAGACTATGCTTGTCCTAAAAGGCTTACCAGCTAAATAGACAAGACAGATCAGGGTGAGAGAAAGGCAGCATTATTATTAAATTAAATATTAGTTTGCATTTCCCAAGATTAACAGGTTTTGTCTGCTACTCAGATCTCTCCATTTGTCATATAGAGTACAACTAAAATTTCAGATAGAATTTAATGAAGCAGTAGGGGCCAAATTCACCCTCCCTGCACCTCCAGTGTTAGTTCTCCTACAATTCACCTATACGAGGACTAGTGATGGTGGTTCCACTTGCCCTCATGCTGGATTTCTGTTGTGAGGCAGGTAGGTTTAATCCTTGCAGCAGGCTCTATGTGAGCCCCACCAGGGAGTTCTCCACTCAGCAGCTCTTAATCACATGTCCTCCCTGGCCAGTGCTGTCTGTTGTTAGGGGTTCATAAAGCAGCTGCAGCCAGACATCCTGGAAAAATGTCTTGGCTTCTTCTGTCTGTCTGTCTGGCAGAAGCTGGTATGTCCCTTATGTAAATTTGGCCCATGTATTGATGGTTTTGAATCCTCCAGAGATATTTAATTACCCTACTTTATAAAATTCCCAAATCAGTAGAAATCCATGTTGTATATAAAAAGATGGATGAATAGGCTGCAGGTATACAACACTGCTTTTCCAGCTGCCCTCCTCATCTACTCTCCCAGCCCATGCCATGGGCTAAAACAGTGACTTTTACCCTTTCATATCTCTTATGTGGGGATTACTGGTCACTGGATCTACATAAGCATGGACCTTTCTTCTGGCATGTCCACTCTGTTCTCCATGTACCAGCCTGTTCTAACTGGGAGCAGTCTTCTCCCCAGGACACATGGAGGTGTGGAAGGCTCCCCGGCATGGCTGCATGTGGGTTTTCCAAATGTGGACAGGCCCCTGGCCTGGGCCCTTCCCCAATGGGTGACTTTCATTGTAGCGTTTTTCTAAATAGATCATCAACAACAAAACAGAAAATAGTTTGTGGTGTCAGTTTTACCTATGGATTTCTTCAAACCCTTTGATTGTTTGAATAATGACAGAAGCTGCTACTCTGCTGTGCACAAAGGAGTGAAAACAAACAAACAAAAGCACCTTCACTGAAAACCCCTGAACAAATCCCTGTCAACTTCCACATTAATAAGTGGCTGTAAGGCCAGAACCTAGTGCATTGAAGTCTATTGCACTTTTGTCATTGATTTTAGTGGGAATAGCGTCATGCCTTTTAAAGAATAATTATGCTTTAAGGCAGTGGGTAGAACAGTCCAAATTCTGTGTCAATTCTATTAACTTCGTGGAATTGCAGAGGATGTAAAGTAGCACATACTGTGATCCAATCACTTCTTCTAATATTACATGATTATGCTAGATGGGATTCAGTTGTGAATCTCAAATGCAGATTTTAAGACTATGCTAATTTTCTAGACATTTGAAAATTCAACTTGATTTTTATAATTTCCTTGTTAGTGAATTCACCCCAGCTAAGGGCATTATGATACATGCACACCTATAGGGTCAAAAAGATTTTATGAAATCAAATTTGAATATAGCTAAGGTTATGATTTTTTCACGAAGGTTGCGGAAGTCACGGAATCCATGACTTCCAGCGACTTCTGTGAATTTGACCCAGCGGCCAGGAGCTGCCCAGGAGGGAATCCCATAGCTCCCAACTACCACAGCTGGCAGGGGGACCCCCAGCTCCTGGCTGCCCTGGGCAGCGGGGAACCTCTAAGCTCCAGGCTGCTGCAGATGGCGGGGCCGCAGTCCTGACTGGAGCTCCGAGTCACCGTGGACAGCGGGGGGTATCCCAGAGCTCCTGGCCGCCATGGGCAGCGGGGGGACCCTGGAGATCCTGGCCTCCACAGGTGGCAGGGGGATCCTGGAGCTCACAGCCTCCATGGGCGGCAGGAAGACCCCAGACCTCCAAACCACCACAGGCGGTGGGGGACCCTGCAGCTCCGAGCCCCCACAGGCAGTGGAAACCCCCAGAGTTCAGAGCAGGACCCCGCAGTTGCCCAGCTTCTCCAGGCAATGTGGGGACCCCACACCTAAGCTCCCCATTTTGTCATGGATATTTTTAGTAAAAGTCACGGACAGACCATGGGCTTCCATGAATTTTTCTTTATTGCCCGTGACCTGTCCGTGATTTTTACTAAAAATATCCATGACAAAATCTTACCCTTAAATATAGCCAATACTGACAAGAATTCTAAAGCAATAAAGTTGGTATTTCTCACAACGAAAATAAAATTATAACAAATATACTACAGTAAAACATCTGTGAAATCCATGGTAGCAAAACTCAGCAGTTAAGGACTTTTCTTGTCACTTTTTCTCTTTGCACACCGATTTCCTCCATTTAATTTTTAACTTGCTCAAATGCTACTGTACCTACATACTTACTTATATACTACCTACCTACATACCTACATAGATCAATACATATTCTCATCTTGGTGCACAAGGAGTGACAATTATAGGGACAGATACTTCTCTCAGTTATCTGGTATAAATGTAGAATAACCACATTGAAGTTATTAGAAGAACTCTATGGATCACATTTTCATTAACCCTGCTCTCTGGGCCAGATTCAAAGTCCATGGCAGACTTTCCATTCACTTCAGTAGACTTTGTTTCAAATTGGCAGCCTAAAGGGACCTTAAAGTGTTTGTAAAAGTAATTTATGTCCACTTTAAGGTCCCTTTATACTGCCACAATGTTGTAAAGAGCCCTTGGTGCAAATAAGAATCCATTTTTACCAGATAAATGAGAGCAGAGTTTTACCCACAGGCACCTACATTCACATATCATGTAAACTACACAAAAGGAAACAACGTAGTTTTAAAACCCAGCACGTTTTGATATGTAGCTTTTGGGCCACATTTCCCCACGAATAAAGAAATGCAGTATAGGCGGGAGCAATGTCAAACAGACTCAGAGACCAGAGATCTGCAGGAAATCCTAGCTCCTACATCATGAGTCCAGCCTCCAGCAATAGTAGCACAACCATTTATTGGGTACTATGGGTTGCATTGCTACATCTGAGTACAGTATTGCACCCTGTGACTTCAAGTGGGGGAAAAGTTGCAGGAGCCAATGAACTATTTGAGAAACAGCAATTCTGCTCTCTTGCAAATGTGCCTAATAAAAAAAGGAAGATTAAAAAACAGAAATGAGACAGACAGAATGGTTTTTAAATGGAATATTTCTCAAAGTTCTCCATGAGATGTCAGCAGGTTGTTGGGCCAGTCCTGCAAAATGTTAGACTTGGTCTACACTACCGAGTTGGTCAATGCAAGGCAGCTTACATCGACCCAATTATGTCAGGTTCTACACTACAATGCTGCTTCCGCTGAAGTTAGTGGCCCGCTACACCAATATAATAACTCCACCTCCATGAGAGGTGTAGTGCTTATGTCAATGTAGTTAGGGAGACACAGCGTCCATGTAGACACTGCATTTCTTACCTCCGTTGTTGGCTGTCAGCCCAAGTGGGTCTGACAGCTGAAGCCCTCCACCCCTCCCCAGCGCTGACAGCCCAAGCTGTCGATCAGGCCCTGGATGAGTCCTGTGCTTGGCTGACAGCTTGGACTGTTAGTGCTGGGACGGCAGAGGGAATGGTTATGAGCCTGCTGTCAGTGGCGGGGGGGCCAGCTGTGAGCACCATGTGGGGCTGACAGATGAGGCTGTCAGGCCCAGGGCTGCCGTACTCCAGGTGCTGGTGTCCCACAATACCCCACATCAGCAGTTGGAAGTGCTCCTAGTGAGGACACGCACTACCAAAAGAAGGAGCCAGTGTGGTTGTGAACCACTGCTTCAATTACCGTGGTGGCTGTGCATCGACTTAAGTTGTCTTAATTTTGTAGTGTTCACAAGCCCTTAGTCCCTACTCAGCTAGAGTCAAGAGCAGACAAAGTCTTTAAAAGAACTCCTGTTTTTATGCCAGTGACATCCCTAGTAATGAAAACTGAGGAAAGAGAAATGGTAAAATTCTAAATAGATAGATCTGCTTGTAATTGGAGTCAGTTTCATTTAGTCAGTCATGTGAGTAAAAATGTGCAAGTTTGGGTCCTTCAGATCATTAGCAAGACAGCTGTAGTTAAATACGTGAATGAATAAGTTATGGTAGAGGTTATTTAAATAACCACTCTTCATGACTCTCATTATATTAATACAGGCAAGATTAAAGCATAAATATTTTACCTAATACATCTTTAATCAAATATTAAAGGTGTAGGAAAATGAGTCATATTAATGACAACAAGATTCCATGTGCCTTTTTCAAAGCATTCCTTTTCTAACTTTAGTTCAGAAGCTTTAGGAACCCAGATTAAACAAAAGAACTGATAATTTGGTTGCTAACTTCTTTACCAAGAAGCTGTCATTTGATAATTAGTTTAGAACTGTGTCACTAACCTGTAGCTGTTAGCTTTGGACATAATTATTTAATTAAAGAAGATTATTTTTAAATGTGATTGTATTCATTTAACTATTAACAGTAAGAAATTGAGGCTAAAGCAGATCTCAGAAATCTGAATAGCATCCAAATAATTACTTTATTATATTAATGTAGATTGTCTTTAAAGGAATTTTCAACTCTGACTCTAGATATAAATTCTCTCTAAACAATGTTACATGATTTATGTATTGTGGCTGTGACACAGAAAATCAATAATTTGTTCTACTAAGTCTGCTAATAGCAAAATTTACATTACAGTAACATGAGACAGGCAAGCAGAGTGGTATATGCCAGAGAG